TCACTGTGGACAGAACGAGTCAGTGTGAGTCCAGTGTTTTGAATCTTCTTCGGTTTTCTTTCTCTGGTGCTACATGATTAAGTACATCTCAAAACTCGGGTAAATAGAAAATAATAAAAAAAAGGACACTGCTTAAAACTGTAATTCAACAATTACATTTGACCCTGAATTAGATAAGAAAAAAGATAAATGGATGGCTTTAATGTTAGAGGAGCTAAAACAGATGTTTCAGACAGAAGATGAACTGGGGAGCTGCACCAAAGGGCAGTAACAGATAAATAAGTATTATTTTTAACAGTAAAATGACTCCAGCAGAGGAATAATAACTGCAACTGCAAGGTCAGCACAGATATTACCTGACAGTCCCACTTTTTTTTTGTATTAACAATAACATAATCGACAGTATTACAGGTGTACAAAATCAAAACTGGCTGGTCACTAGAAGCTTTGGCTTTAAAGTTGGACAACAGAATCTGAAGCTACTGTAGCAGAGTCCAAGTAAAAAGTGGTGAAGCTCAAAAATAGAGTCTCGATGTGACATCGATGGAACAAGCCTTCCATCCAAAGGAAGATGATTCCCGAATGAACAACTTCCACTGTTCATCACACGATGTAGGCGTAGGCGTAGTAGCACACAGCTGATAACACAGCTAAAGGCAGCAGCACCAGAATCATCTTCCACAGGCTTCCTGTGGACTTGTCTCCAGTGGGCTCCCCTGATCGTACAGACGTGTGATTGGTGGAGCTGTAGGTGACCTGCACGGCAGCCCTGAGACACAAAGGAGAAGAGGTGGGTTAGACCTGGCTATAAACTCACGAGCTCAAACATGTGACTGCTTCATACTGCAGGATTCACCCTGTGTCAGCGTCTGGTCCCTCCACTCCATGTTGCTCAGTGCTTCGCTTCACCCTGTGTGCAGGAAACACGCAGTTCAATACTTAATGTTCAAGCCAGCACTGGGTTTGTTTCACTGCACTACATTTATGATGCATTTTAGGGAAAGTTACCCCTGGCTTTACCCTCAACATGTCATCACCATTATGACTCTGAGCTGACAAGAACAGTGGATTTTATTAACACACATAACAGATTTGCACTGGTAGTTAGCTGCATGCACTTTTTGGTTTAAGGATGGCTGGGTATTAAAATGTTATCAAGTCCAATTAAACAAAATATCCTCAAACAAAGGTCAAGAACGTGGTAAAGTCCCTCATGTGGAACAAATGGCAGTAAGTACCCTGGCATCTGCGTCAGCAAGCTAAAATAATGAAATGCTGCAGTTTGAGTTTCACATGTAAACCATCTCTCTGCTTCCCTCGTCACCTCCTGGAGTTCTCCCATTTTCACATGTAAATGATTTGATTGGCTGAATAGCGTGTGTGTAGTGAGTTACAAAGCACACGATTGGTTGGTGTACACACAACAAGAAATAAAGGAAAAAGTTGCACAGATTAATATAACGTTAGTGTATATACTAGAAAATCCAACCTATCATCTTACAGTGTAAATCACAATACTGTACTAAGAAATGTGACTCTGCAGAGTTCTTACCTGCAGGTTTAGACTGACTGACATCTGGGTAAACAACAACAATCTGCCCTTTCAGTTTTACTTCCATGGTAGTGTAGACCATAACACAGATGACGTGTGATAATACCAGTGCAGCTTGGGAGAATTTCATAGAGGAAATAAAAGCACAGTGTTGTATGTGGGCGGTGCAATATAATCAGCTTTAAAACTATCCAACCGGAGCGGTGCATAAAGGCATGCACATTAGCCTGCAGGGCTAGCAAAGCAGCACTGCTAATGTTCCTCACACTGCTAGTGCTGCCCCATTACTTGGTAATACTACAGTAATCAATATTATTTAACCGTGTGAATGTCAGTTAAGTAAACAACATTTAACTTCTTTTTACAGTTAACACTGAATGGAACGATGTTTGCTAACTGGGTATTAGTTGTTTGTAAACCAGTCTGGTGGTTGTTGGCAGGTTGCAACTGGTGTTTCTAAATGGTTAGTAAAGAGAGTGGTGCATCGAGAACCACCAGTATCTCGCCAGTCAAGGTGAATGTTGTTTACCCATGAATGCCACAAACCCACACTATCACTTTTATGAGATTCA